GTCCTTCATCCATTTTGAGTCTATTTTCGTGTGTGGTGTAAGGAAAAGATCCAATTTCATTTTTCTGCATGTGGCTATCCAATTTTCCCAACACCACTTATTGAAGAGGCTGTCTTTTTTCCATTGGACATTCTTTCCTGCTTTGTCGAAGATTAGTTGACCATAGAGTTGAGGGTCTATTTCTGGGCTCTCTATTCTGTTCCATTGATCTATGGGTCTGTTTTTGTGCCAGTACCATGCTGTCTTGATGATGACAGCTTTGTAGTAGAGCTTGAAGTCCGGAATTGTGATGCCACCAACTTTGGCTTTCTTTTTCAATATTCCTTTGGCTATTCGCGGTCTTTTCTGGTTCCATATAAATTTTAGGATTATTTGTTCCATTTCTTTGAAAAAAATGGATGGTACATTGATAGGAATTGCATTAAATGTGTAGATTGCTTTAGGTAGCATAGACATTTTCACAATATTTATTCTTCCAATCCAGGAGCATGGAACATTTTTCCATTTCTTTGTGTCTTCCTCAATTTCTTTCATGAGTACTTTATAGTTTTCTGTGTATAGATTCTTAGGCTCTTTGGTTAGGTTTATTCCTAGGTATCTTATAGTTTTGGGTGCAATTGTAAATGGGATGGACTTCTTAATTTCTCTTTCTTCTGTCTTGTTGTTGGTGTAGAGAAATGCAACTGATTTCTGTGCATTGATTTTATATCCTGACACTTTACTGAATTCCTGTACCAGTTCTAGCAGTTTTGGAGTGGAGTCTTTTGGGTTTTCCACATATAGTATCATATCATCTGCGAAGAGTGATAGTTTGACTTCTTCTTTGCTGATTTGGACGCCTTTAATTTCTTTTTGTTGTCTGATTGCTGAGGCTAGGACTTCTAGTACTATGTTGAATAGCAGTGGTGATAACGGACATCCCTGCCGTGTTCCTGACCTTAGCAGAAAAGCTTTCAGTTTTTCTCCATTGAGAATGATATTTGCGATGGGTTTTTCATAAATGGCTTTGATAATATTGAGGTATGTGCCCTCTATCCCTACACTTTGAAGAGTTTTGATCAGGAAGGGATGCTGTACTTTGTCAAATGCTTTTTCAGCATCTATGGAGAGTATCATATGGTTCTTGTTCTTCCTTTTATTAATGTGTTGTATCACGTTGATTGATTTGCGGATGTTGAACCAACCTTGCAGCCCTGGAATAAATCCCACTTGGTCGTGGTGAATAATCCTTTTAATGTACTGTTGAATCCTATTGGCTAGTATTTTGGTGAGAATTTTTGCATCTGTGTTCATCAAGGATATTGGTCTGTAGTTCTCTTTTTTGACGGGATCCTTGTCTGGTTTTGGGATCAAGGTGATGCTGGCCTCATAAAATGAGTTTGGAAGTTTTCCTTCCATTTCTATTTTTTGGAACAGTTTCAGGAGAATAGGAATTAGTTCTTCCTTAAATGTTTGGTAGAATTCCCCCGGGAAGCCGTCTGGCCCTGGGCTTTTGTTTGTTTGGGGATTTTTGATGACTGTTTCAATCTCCTTAACTGGTTATGCGTCTGTTCAGGCTTTCTATTTCTTCCTGGTTCAGTTGTGGTAGTTTATATGTCTCTAGGAATGCATCCATTTCTTCCAGATTGTCAAATTTGTTGGCATAGAGTTGCTCATAATATGTTCTTATGATTGTCTGTATTTCTTTGGTGTTAGTTGTGATCTCTCCTCTTTCATTCATGATTTTATTTATTTGGGTCCTTTCTCTTTTCTTTTGGATAAGTCTGGCCAGGGGTTTATCAATCTTATTAATTCTTTCAAAGAACCAGCTCCTAGTTTCGTTGATTTGTTCTATTGTTTTTTTTTTTTTTCGTTTCTATTTCATTGATTTCTGCTCTGATCTTTATGATTTCTCTTCTCCTGCTGGGTTTAGGGTTTCTTTCTTGTTCTTTCTCCAGCTCCTTTAGGTGTAGGGTTAGGTTGTGTACCTGAGACCTTTCTTGTTTCTTGAGAAAGGCTTGTACCGCTATATATTTTCCTCTTAGGACTGCCTTTGTTGTGTCCCACAGATTTTGAACCATTGTATTTTCATTATCATTTGTTTCCATGAATTTTTTCAATTCTTCTTTAATTTCCTGGTTGACTCATTCATTCTTTAAGGATGCTGTTTAGTCTCCATGTATTTGGGTTCTTTCCAAATTTCCTCTTGTGATTGAGTCCTAGCTTCAGAGCATTGTGGTCTGAAAATATGCAGGGAATGATCCCAATTTTTTGATACCGGTTGAGACCTGATTTAGGACCGAGGATGTGATCTATTCTGGAGAATGTTCCATGGGCACTAGAGAAGAATGTGTATTCTGTTGCTTTGGGATGAAATGTTCTGAATATATCTGTGATATCCATCTGGTCCAGTGTGTCATTTAAGGCCTTTATTTCCTTGTTGATCTTTTGCTTGGATGATCTGTGCATTTCAGTGAGGGGAGTGTTAAAGTCCCCTACTATTATTGTATTATTGTTGATGTGTTTCTTTGATTTTGTTAGTAATTGGTTTATATAGTTGGCTGCTCCCAGGTTGGGGGCATAGATATTTACAATTGTTAGATCTTCTTGTTGGACAGATCCTTTGAGTATGATATAGTGTCCTTCCTTATCTCTTATTTGTCTTTATAAGTCTTTGGCTTAAAATCTAATTGATCTGATATAAGGATTGTCACTCCTGCTTTCTTCTGATGTCCATTAGCATGGTAAATTCTTTTCCACCCCCTCACTTTAAATCTGAAGGTGTCTTCGGGTTTAAAATGAGTTTCTTGTAGGCAACATATAGATGGGTTTTGTTTTTTTATCCATTCTGATACCCTGTGTCTTTTGATTGGGGCAGTTAGCCCATTAACATTCAGGGTAACTATTGAGAGATATGAATTTAGTGCCATTGTATTGCCTGTAAGGTGACTGTTATTGTATATTGTTTCTGTTCCTTTCTGATCTACTACTTTTAGGCTCTCTCTTTGCTTAGAGGACCCCTTTCAATATTTCCTGTAGAGCTGGTTTGGTGTTTGCAAATTCTTTCAGTTTTTGTTTGTCCTGGAAGCTTTTAATCTCTCCTTCTATTTTCAATGATAGCCTAGCTGGATATAGTATTCTTGGCTGCATGTTTTTCTCGTTTAGTACTCTGAATATATCATGCCAGCTCTTTCTGGCCTGCCAGGTCTCTGTGGATAAGTCTGCTGCCAATCTAATATTTTTACCATTGTATGTTACAGACTTCTTCTCCCGGGCTGCTTTCAGGATTTTCTCTTTGTCACTAAGACTTGTAAATTTGACTATTAGGTGACGGGGTGTGGACCTATTCTTATTGATTTTGAGGGGGGTTCTCTGAACCTCCTGGATTTTGATGCTTGTTCCCTTTGCCATATTGGGGAAATTCTCTCCAATAATTCTCTCCAATATACCTTCTGCTCCCCTCTCTCTTTCTTCTTCTTCTGGAATCCCAATTATTCTAATGTTGTTTCGTCTTATGGTGTCACTTATCTCTCGAATTCTGCCCTCGTGGTCCAGTAGCTGTTTGTCCCTCTTTTGCTTAGCTTCTTTATTCTCTGTCATTTGGTCTTCTATATCGCTAATTCTTTCTTCTGCCTCATTTATCCTAGCAGTGAGAACCTCCATTTTTGATTGCACCTCATTAATAGCTTTTTTTATTTCAACTTGATTAGATTTTAGTTCTTTTATTTCTCCAGAAAGGGCTTTTATATCTCCCGAGAGGGTTTCTCTAATATCTTCCATGCCTTTTTGGAGCCCGGCTAGAACCTTGAGAATCGTCATTCTGAACTCTAGATCTGACATATTACCAATGTCTGTATTGATTAGGTCCCTAGACTCCTCCCGGACCAGAAATCATTTTATATCTGATCAAAATCCAGCAAGTATTGGCATGACACAGAATAAAGTGTATTTTAAAACTCATGAATGAAAAAAAAAAACCTGGTGAACACACAAAAATAGATAGATGCAAGTGAGGTGATTTTATAATATTGAAAGAAAAAGGACTAAAATAACTCAGCTGAAGTATAGAAGACTAATGAATGCATGTCTCCTGTAGTATATGATTTTAAAGAACAGAGCCACCCTTCATTGCTCTCGGGGCAGAGCCATGGAGCTACACATTTATCATTTTTGTTCAAGTGCCAAAGCTTGCTTTCTTTCTCTCTCAAAGGATAGCCAGTTGATTTCAGAATTATATATATGTGTGTATATTATATATATATGTATATATATATATATATAATATACACACATGTTAGCCAGTTTCTATTCAGAAATATGATCCAGCTAAGACCATCCTGGATTACATCAGAATTGGGTTCCAGACCAGCTTGTCCACTGGCTTGTGATTTTATCCAGGTCTCTAACCTCAGTGAATCAGTGGGATATCATGAAATAAGCAATAGGAAAGAAAGTTGAAAAAAATATACACTATTATCTAGATACATATGTCTTCTTTGCTCATATTGAGTTCCTGGCTCTATTTAAGATCTCTGCCTGCACTGTGTCCCTTTGATTCTCAGAACAACTCCATGGAATACTATTATTATCTTCATTTCACACAGAGGAAAATTTAGACATTTAGAGACTAAATAAAGTTGCACGGTAGTAGAGCCAGTATTCAAACCCATGCATTCTGCCTTCAAAGACAACACTCTTAATTTCTACCATCCTGTAGGAACCATGAAATTCTGTAAGTCTGAACAGAGAGAGAGAAATAAAGAGAGAATCTTGAGTGAGTGCCCCCTTTATTTTCATCTGTTTTAGATTTTTTAAGATTACAGGTTAATTAAAACTTTTAGGTTTTAATTATTAATTAAATAAATATAGAAGTGTCTGTAGCTAATGGCATTATCAGATAGGATACATACAAAGATTTCAAGACAAAAATTCAAGTTTTGACTTTGTTGAGAATACACAAAAACAATATTTTGCTCTTTAAATCAGATTATGTCCTTAATTTTCTTATTTCCTTTTTTAAGGGATGGGAGAGACATGGTGGATTCTGTTACAAAATTGACACTGTCCTTCGAAGTTTTGACCATGCCTCCAGTGGTTATTACTGTCCTCCTGCCCTTGTAACCATTACAAACAGGTAAGATAGAAATTTTCTATCAGAAACATGACTGTACTTTTTTGACAGGAGTGCTCCCAGGATGATAAAATCTAGCCATAATCAGTAACTTGTCAAAATCTAAAGTGTACTGTACATTAGAGTATTAAATTATTTAAATTATTGATTGAGATGAATTTAAATCATACAACATTATTCTTAAATCAATTTTTGAGTAATAAAGAGAAAATTTAAGATGACTTTCACTTTCCATAAAGCTTTATTAATTATTAAGCTTTGCTAATGTATTCAATTGTATTTAGATTTTATCCAAAGGCTTATAATGAAAACAAAGTATGTTATTTTAAAATTAAGTATGTTTTTAATGTAATATGTGTAAGTTATGTGGAGTTTTTTAGAAGTATAGCTATAATACATTATATGTTAATAAAAAAATTAAAAATTTAAAAAAATAAATTAAAAATACAATGTGATAATGCATGTCAAAGGCATTGTACATGGCTTTGGCAATGGACTCAATAAATGTGAACTCTTATTGAAAAAAAAAGTATAGCTAAAATGTGTAATATTTTCAAATTCTTCCCCATTGCTTCTTAGCTCTATATTTGCTTAGATGTAGACTTCTCTGTGCACAGGTGTCTTCTCCATACTAACAGAGAAACTGTGTCCTTTTGACACTCCACAGAATTTGCAACATGCTATAGATTTGTAATAGGGAATAAAAGTACCAACAGCTGAAGTGACCCGAGTGTCACTAACAATGCCAGGAGAACAATGAGGGAAATCGACTCCTCCAAGCTGAAGACAGAAACAAGGTAGAACCCTTCAGTGATTGCATGGGAACCTATACCTGCAAAGCTAGCCACTTGCTTTTTTACTGAGGCCACTGCCTTTAGAAATATCCACTGAAGTCAAGGAAACAAGACAGTTGACACTAGGGTTTTATCCAGAGACATTTCGGACATAGGTCTAATCTGTAGGAGGAATTATTGCTTTCTCTCCTCTCCTTGCAGAGGAAGTCAACATTCAAAGCCACCAGTATTTCCTTCCTCCTCTTACCTCTCACCTTCCCAGTCTTTCCTTCCAACCATGCACAGAATGTGCACATGCGCACACACACACACACACACACACCACTGGATTGACAGCAGTTGTCAAAATAAATTGCCTAGAGAAACATTTTGTGCTCAGGAGACGCTTCGTTCAGGAATAGCACCACCCTTGATGTATCTCAGTGTTGTTTTGGTTCTACCTTCCTTCTTCCCAGCTGCCAGGCAGAAGGAAGTCTTTATCTTCAACTTGATCACCCACCCAAAACGTTTCAAGAAGACCTTGGGTTAGAAGTCCTCCAGCAAGTGAGCCAATACTGGGCTTTATTCAGGAGCCTGATCAATGAAGCTATGCTATTTTGTTAATTATAACTTAATTACGTTTTTCACTGAAGAAAAGAAGTTTGTTTCACCTGTTTTTTATGTCTTATTCTTTTCTTTTTTGTGTGTAATATTCATTGAATACCTGTCACATACCTGGCACTGTATTAATTATTTTTCATATGCTATCTGACAATGCAAAAAACCAATAGGCATTTATTAGAAAATTATTTATTAAACGTCTATATTGCAAGAGGTACCATATTAAATACTGGCATGCTGTACAAAAGAAATTAAAGGCATGGTGTAATTGTCCAGGTGCCACTTGCAGGCCAGGAGCTCGAAATAGAACATAGAAATATGAAACAAGTGAAGAAAGTGGAAGAAGACAATAAATGGATAAATTCAAAGTAACGTTACAGGGACACCTGGGAGGCTCAGTCAGTAATGTATTTGCCTTCACCTCAGATCATGATCCCAGGGTCCTGGGATTGAGTCTCACATCCAGCTCCTTGCTCAGCAGGGAGTGTACTTCTCCTTCTGCCTGCCACTCCCCCTGCTTCTGCTCTCTTTCTCTCTCTTTCTGACAAATAAATAAATGAAACCTTAAAAAAAAAAAAAAAACCAACAAAGTGACATTACAGATAACCTATAATGCCATAGTGACCCAAGTAGGGCAGGAATCTGTTAGCATTCAAAGGCTTCATTTTCTAAGAACAGAGACCTCCCACAAATAACAGAAAGTGTCTGGAAAAAAATCTCCTTGGTTTCATTTCCTCCAAAACTGGATACAAGAGTACGTTATAAAACGTTTGTTTCTTTGATAAAGTGTATTCAGTAGCCAATACTAATATACGACCTAACTCTAAAGCAAACCTTATAGCATAGATAAGTTTGTTTTCATTCTGTCAACAACCTTGTAGGCCCACCCAGGTGATCTTGTGCTAGTGTGCTACTCAGTGAACAGTCAAGCTCCCGCAGTGCTCTCCACTAGCCCCAGTGAGGCATCTCTCCCATACAGTTGCCACGCATGTACACTGTCCTGCAAACACGTCTATACCCAGAGCAGTGACTCCAACACAGGACATGCAGGTTGAGGAAAGGAAGGGCCCTGTGCTCTCAATTTTTATTCACTCAGATTCTATCAGGTAAGAAACAATGACCCACACTACACCCCACTCTTTGACTGACAAGGCATAACAAAATTTTTCAACACTATCTCTTGTCAGAGAAGGTTGGGCAGTAAACGGAAAGTTTCCTCAGATTCAGGAGTGTCCACTCGCTGCCTTGGTAATCATTTTCTTCCATTACTGATTTCCTGTTTGAGTTAAGACACTCCTGTCACTCACCAGTGCTCAAGCTTATAGTTGCTAATTGATTTTCCACTCTTCTGCACAATTGAGAACAGATTTGATGGGCACAATTAGAACCACCTGCTACAGATTACTTATTTCTTTTGTTATCAGTCAACTGCTCCTGGTCTAGGACATTTAACACTTTGTGGAATAGAGAGGGGAAGAAAAACAGACCCTTATTGGGGAATAGCAGAATGTTATTTTCTTGCTAACGGTTACAAAATTTTTTCAGGCCTGGACACTCTTTCAGATAGTACATGACTGCAAAACTTGAGTTCCAGAGTTAGCATTACGATGGATAATCGTGTAAATGCATATGTATCTAAATCTTGAATCAATCAGCCATGGAATATTTGGCATAAAATAATCCAAATGACATTTAATTTTTTGCATTTTGCCAAAAGTAAGAAATCCTGCAGTATCTCATTTTCCTCTACATTTAAATATGCATTATCTCCAAGCATTTTTACAGCTCTGCTGTTTTCCTGCAACCACCATACTCCCTAAACACTTTTGCTGTTAATTTTTTCTTGTGATAAAATATGTTGAACATAAAACTGATCATTATAACAATTTTTAAGTATACAGTTCAGTCGCATTAAGTACAGTTGTATCATTGGACAATCATCACCACCATCCATTTCTGTAACTTTTTCATCTTCCCAAACTAAAATTCTGTACCCTTTAAATAATAACTCCCCATTTCCCTCTGCCCCCACCTTTGGGCAACAGTCATTCTACTTTCTGTCTCTATGCGGTTGACTGCTCTAAGTTAACGTATCAGTGGAATCATGCAGTAGTTGTGCTATTCTATCTGGCTTATTTCACTTAGTCTAATGTCCTCCAGGTTAATGTATGTTATAATATGTGTCATAATTTCCTTCCCTTTTAAGGCTGAGTAATATTCCATAATATATATATATACCACATTTTGTTTATCTATTCATACAATAGATACAAGATGCTTCTACCTTTTGGTGGAAATTGTGAAACACGCTGCTATGAACATGAATGTACAAGTATCTTTCAAGTCCCTGGTTTCAGTTATTTTGGGTAATATACCCAGAAGTGAACTTGCTGATATAATTCCATTTTTAATGTTTTGAGGAACAGCTGTACTATTTTCCATATTGGCAGCACCGTTTTACAATCCCACCAGCAGTGCTCAGGAGTTCCAATTCCTCCACAACCTAGCCAACACTTGTTATGTTGTTTTTATATAATAGCCATCCTAATGGGTATGAAATGGTATCTGATTGTGGTTTCAACCCGCACTTCCCAAATGATTAGTGATATTGAATGTCTTTTCATGTGCTTTTTGGCATCTGTATATCTTCTTTGGAGAAATGTTTTTTCCAAGTCCTTTACCAATGTTTTAATTGGGGAATTCATTCTTTGTTGTTGAGCTGTAGTAGTTCTTTATATAGTCTGGCTATTAATCCCATATCAGTTACATAATTTGCAAATACTTTCTCTTATTCTGTGGGTTGCTTTTTTACTCTGTTGATGCCCTTCAATGCATAAAGTTTTAAATTTTGATTAAGTCCACCTTATCCGTTCTTATTCTGTTGCCTGTGCTTTTGGTGTCATATCTAAGAAATCATTGCCACATTCAATGTCATGAAAAGTTTTCCCTATTTTTCCTAAGAGTTTTATAAGTTTAGCTCTTGTGTTTAGGTCTTTGATCAACTTCCAGTTAATTTTTATAAATGGTATGATGTAAGAAGAGTCCCAGTGTATTCTTCCGCAGGTGAATATCCAGTTTTCCCAAAATCATTGTTGAAAAGACTGTGCTTTTCCCATTGAACAGTCTTGGCACCCTTGTGGAAAATCATTTGACCATATATGGAAGTGTTTATTTCTGGGTTGTCTATCTATTCTATTAATCTATGTCTGTCTTTATGCTGGTACCACACGGTTTTTGATTGTGGTACTTTGAGTAAGTTTTGAAATCAAGAAGTATGAGATCAACTTTGTTCTTTATCATATTTGTTTTTGCCATTCGGCTTGAAATCCCTTAAAATTCCATACGAATTTTAAAGTGGATTTTTCTACTTCTGCAAAAGACATCATTGGGATATTGACATGGACTGCATTCAATCTGTAGATCAATTTGGGTAGTATAGACACTTAAAGAATTGGTTTTTCAATCTACAAACATGGGATGTCTTTCCATTTATTTGGGTCTTTAATTTCTTTCAACAGTGTGTTGTAGTTTTCAGTGTACAAGTTTTTGCCTCCTTAGCTAAGTTTATTCCCAATTATTTATTTTATTTTTGATGCTATCATATATTGAATTGATTCAGATTCTTAATTGTTAGTGTACAGAAATGCAACTGATTTTTGTGTGGTGACTTCATCTTGAACATAGCTGAATTTATTAGTTCTAACACTTTTTTTATAGAATCCAATTACCTTTCTTTTTCATTTATTTTACATTTTTTTGAAGATTTATTTATTTATTTATTTATTTATTTCTGAAAGACAGAGAGAGCGCCCTCACACACCCACACGCATGTGTGCATGCATGGACGTGGGGAGGAGCAAAGGGAGAGCATCTTCAAGCAGACTCCCCACTGAGTGTGGAGCCTGATGACCTGAGGCTCAATCTCACAACCTATGAGATCATGATGTGAGTGGAAACCAAGAGTCGGACACTCAACCAAATGAGCCACCTAAGCACCCCTAACTTTCTTTTTAAAAACATATTTTAGTTGTCCTCTTTAAAATTATGCAATAAAAACATTCTTATTGGTATAAATTCAAGCAAGCCAGAAGAATATAAACTAAAAAGTGAAAGTGCCCTCTCACCTGCATTCCTCTTCCCTCCCAAACAATCCCACTTCTCTCCCATTTACAGTTAACAAAGGTAACTGTCATTAACAGTTTGGAATTTGTTCTTCTAGGTATATTTTTTTGTGTGTATGTTAAATATCTTTTCTAAGTCTATATTTCTCTTCTAGTCTTTTGCAATAAACAATAGACAAAAACTGAATATTTCTAGTTCTTGAGGAATGCCATCAAAAACTTTTTGTGGCAATAATCATGATGCATGTCTCCCATTTTGAAACTACTAATATTTTATTTCTATTCTTTATTTAAAAGAAAGAGAAAGAAATTTCGCATTTTTGTATTCATTCCACAATAGAGTAAGTTATTCAAATATGGTATTAAAAATGTTAACACCTATGTTATTAAAAGAAATCCTATTGTAATTATTCAGCTCAAAGTTGAAAACTTCCTAACTGGATCACTATAGTGTAAAACTATCATTATTACTTTTAATTGAAATAAGCTCTCTAGTGAAGCTACATCCAGTTGATTATTTTTTTCAATCTCTTGTTTTAGGTAATACAAGCATAATCATTAAGTACTGTTGTCTGTTAAGTGTTGTGTTATTCACAGACAAGAAACATCTTTTTTTTTTTTCAGCTACATTGGTCACTGGCTAAATGGATGAAAAAATATGTTCAGTTAGAGATTCAAAGTACAATATCTCCTTTTGAGTGTGCATTTTTTGAAATGTGAATTTTATTTTGAAATGAAAAAAAATTTTCAGTGTATCCAAAAAATAAGTATTGCTGCCTTCAAATTGCACTTTTTAAAATTAAAATGTAATGTTTAGCACCATGAGTAACAATTTCTCATCAAACTGATAGAAATTCAAGATATATTTTTGTTATTTACATAGAAAATGCACATTTGATTTCTTAACTTCTTTCAGGAGTTGATTGGAAAAAAATTTTTTCTAAGTTTAAGAATTATTTCCCTAAAAATTTGATGTTATAAGTAGTTACACATATGGAAAGTATTTTATCATTTGTTTTTCTAAAAAATAACAATTTTTACTTTATTGAATTCCTTGGATATGTTATTCTGGTTCAGATAAAAATATAAAAACATGTACTTATGGTTACTTTTTGTTCCTTAAGTCACAATAATGTTTGAATTATATAATCCAGTGAAACCAGACAAAAAGTCCAAATATAAAAAAAAACTCTGGAATATTCTCAAATGAAGAATTCTAAACACAAGGCCAGAAAAGACTTTAAAAGATCATCTGTTCTATTACTGTAAGCCAGAGTTTTCACAACCCTTTTAAGTGTTTGGAATGAAATAGTGAGTGGTAACGAATATAAAATGTCCTCTTGTTTCTTTTTCTGTTGGAAATAGACACTCAAAAGGCTGCATGCTGTGATCTAGAGTTAAGTTCTAGAATATATGATTTAAAAGAAAGATATATTTGCTGAATTGCTTTATTAACAATGATATCTTCTAAACCATACCAAGAAAACTAGGGTCCTGATTTTAAGGTTTTAGGATATACTGTATGAGTATTATAAGCAACTGCTTTAAAAATACTTGCCAATTTAAGAAGCACAAGGTGTCTATTGTTTTAAGCAATCATTATTAGTGATAAAATAGCAAATCAGAGTGGACTAAATAAAATCAACAGGGAACAAAAGCAAAATGTTGTCATGAATAATGATATCAGTGGCCACATTCACAATGTTTCCTCTCTATTATCCAATAAATGCTGTACTACAAGGTAATGGAAGAACCAGCATTGTCCCCTGGGTTTAGAACCAGCACAGTAATGGTGGTCTTGCCATAGCCTCCATGATGTAGTGCCTCACTGGCCTCCTAAGACAGCAGTTAGAGCATTGGCTGGGCACAATAAAAATGTTACTCTGTCTCAGAGAGGAGAAGGCAAAGCAGATCCTAAATTGTGAGAGCGTGAACCACTGAAAGCATAAGGAAAATTGCGATAGCATCTAGACAATGTTTAGTTTTATGTACTTTCCTTTAAAACACATTTACATAAAATTCTGCCACTGCAATCTGGTTAAAAAGAACTTTTCTAATTTCAAATGCATGCTATTTGGATTATTAATTGAGTACAGAAAATATTTACTAGACCATAATAAAAATCCATATGCTCTGCAAAGATGAGTGTCATGGATGCCTAAGATTACTAAATGTTGGTAGTGATGTTCATAATGATTAAAATTTTTACTTTTTCTGTGCTCTTTTCTCCCCTCCCCCACATTTCCTTTGAGGCTCTTCTATTCTTGAATGACCCCATTGATTTTGTTTCCCTTAGCAACGTAAGGATGCATGGTAACAAAACAATTCCAGAATTGGATGAAAAAGTCTAATTTGCTTTCTTAGGTTTCCTGGGTAATTTCATCAGGCCTACCCTTTCTCACTGACTCAGCACTTCTGGCCAAAAGTCACCACTGTTTGAAATGTGTTTCTTCAAAACTTCAGATGCATTGGAAATAAATTTTTCAAGATAGATTACAACTTAGCTTAAAATTTCAATGCTACTTAAGTTTTAATACTCGTATTTTTCTATTAGATATTCATGTGGAAGCATATATACAAATTTTCCAGATTCTACTTTTGATGCATTCATGTTGGGAAAGGAGGACTGCCACCAATCAATGAATACTAATTCATTCAGTTGTGTGGGGAAAATATTAGTGGGTGCACATCCTTGGATTAGTTCCTAGGGTTTTAAATTTATCTTCAGTGAATGTGTACATCTGAACACATTTGAATAAGCCAAGGACTCCATGTGCTTGTGAATAAACCGATTTGGGAGACATAAAATAGCTACTCCAATCTCTGTTCCATTCTCACCAGGCAAGTGTGGTGGGTGGGTGCATGTGAACTACATGTTGGCAATGTTCATTCCTCCTCCCCACTGCCAGTTCCCGCATTGCACAAACATTATGGCAAGGTATGTGATATGTGACCTAATTACAAAATAGAGCACATGCTGTGCCAAGAAATGTATTGCTAGCTTGATGGGCTTTACCACCTATACTCTGAAAGTGGAGCTGGACTCTATTCCTTGAAGAATTAAGCCTTGTCTTTGAGACTCAAATTCTCCTCACTCATCTATTTCTGGGAATTGCACAGACATTTGGCATGTATTAGTAATATCTGGGGTCTTTGACTGTTTTTCTGCTCCATGTTCTGAAGAATTCATCAGAAAGAATTACTCTGGTGCCATTCTGTGTAACTTATTATGCTTTAATGACATTTTTTTATTGCCCAGAAACTTACTATAACCATTTCCTTTTTCCGTTTTTAAGGTTTGAACAGGCTTTTATTACCAGTTTGATCAGTAGTGTGGTAAAAACGAAGGAGAGTTATTTTTGGATCGCTCTTCAAGATCAAAATGATACAGGAGAATACACTTGGAGGACAGCAGCAGGACAGAAGTCTGAGCCTGTGCAATACACACACTGGAATGCACATCAGCCTCGTGAGTGGAAGAGATTGTAATACCACTCCTCTCTCCTGTTTTCTTTGACTAAAATTCCTTCCATCGATGGTCCACCTCCTTTGGTGCTTTCTTGATGTTTTCTTTATGCCTAAATCAACTAAAACAATTATCACAGGTTCCCAGGAGGTGACATGTAGCTGGTCATTTGTAAAAGTAAAATGCGTGTGACATTTGACAGGTTCAAGGTATAATTTTTTAAAAAGATTTTTATTTATTTATTTATTTATTTAAGAGAGAGAGAGAGAGAGAGAGAGAGCATGAGAGGGTTGGTCAGAGGAAGAAGCAGACTCCCCATGGAGCTGGGAGCCCAATGTGGGACTCAATCCTGGGACTCTGGGATCATGACCTGAGCCAAAGGCAGTTGCTTAACCAACGGAGCCACCCAGGCACCCTCAAGGTAGAAATTTATTGCTCAATACCACTTGTGCCTTTATTAGCAGGAAGTCCAGATTCTTCCTCTTAAAGTCTTTTCTCCATCCCACCCCCTCATTGTCTAAGAATCTCAGGGGCTTACTCAGTCCAGAATAGTCTGTTATACTTCAAAGCAGAGTGAATGGGCACATATAGGCAACTCTATCAGTCCAGTCACTGCCACTTTGCTGTGGAATTCTGACCCATTACTTAGGTAACATTCTTATTAATCCATCTCCTCCATGGACTTCGGTGGTAACTTAGCCAGGATTTCAGAGTTAGACCTCTATCAGTTCACTCTCAAAAGCTCAGCTCTAGATCCCAAAACATGAAACTGTACCAGGTTAGCTAGTTCCAGAGAAACTAATGTCTTCAGCCACAAGTACACTAGACTTACCCCCTATGGAACCAGCTTTTTGTCTTTAGGTCACCAACCTAGACTTGACACACCTTTACTTCAGCATGAGTTCTGATTTGGATACCTTGCTCCCTTTTCCTTGTGGGTCTCAATCAGGGCTACCCCAAGAAATAATAGACAATAAGTTACCTCTAAATTTGTTTCTGGAGGAAAGGTCAGGGAGCCTCAGGCTCTTCCGTGAGGAAAGATGGATATTATAATACTATCAAAATTGTTTTCATATATCAAATATGTAATAGTAATTTGCCAAAGGACAAAATATACCGATTAAAAGACAGAGATTGTCAGAGGAGATCAAAACACAAGACACAACTGTATGTTGACTACAAGAAACCAACTTTACATATAAAAATACATGTGGATTAAAAGATAAAAGGATGGACAAAGATATACTTTGCAAATGCTAATCAAAAGAAAGCAGGAATAGCTACATTAATTTCACAGAGCAGACTGAAGAATAAGGAAAGTTTTCAGGGATTAAACAAAAGGATATTATATAATCATAAAGGAGTCACTACTCTAAAAAGAAATAACAGTCCTTTATGTGTATATACTTAACAGCAGAGTGTCAAAATACATGAGAAAAAAAAATTGATAGAACTGCAAGGAAAAAATAATGAAGCTACTATCTACGAATAGATAAATCTACTATTACAGTCAGAAATTTTAATACCTCTCTATCAGATATCTATAGACTACTTAGTCCATCAACAGCAAATTATACATTCTTCTCAAGATCACATGAAATATTCACTAAGATAGACCATATTCTGGTCATAAAACATACCTTAACAAATTTAAAAGAATGGAAATTATACAATGTCTTCTCTCAGGCCACAGTGAGATTAAACTAGAAACCAATATCAGAAAGATAGTTGGAAAATTCCAAAATACTTAGAGATTAAATAATACATTTTTACATAACACATGGGTCAAAGAAGAAATCTCAAGAGGAATTTTAAAACATTTTAAACTAAATAAAAATACAACTTATCAAAATTTGTAAGATGCAGAGAAAGCAATGTTTAAGGGGAAACTTAAAGCACTGAACACATATATTAGGAAAAAAATATCTAAAATCAGTAATCTAAGCTTCTACCTTAGGAAATTAGAAAAAGAAGAGAAAATTAAATCCACAGTAAGTCAAAGAAAATAAATAATAAAAATTAGAGCAGGAATTCAGTAAAATTGAAAACAGACACTCAATAAAGAAAATCAATTTTTAAAAAGTTGGTTCTTTGAAAAGATCGATGAAATTGATAACCCTGTAACCAGACTAAGAAAAGAGAACAGACACAGTTACTAATACCACAAATAAAAGAGGGAGCAGCACTACAGATTCAGGAGATATTAAAAGGGTAATAAAGGAATATTATGAACAACTCTATATCCACAAATTTGATAACCTAGATGAAAATGACCAATTCCTTTAAAGAAACAATCAGCCAAAATTCACACAATAAGAAGTAAATTATTGGAGTAGGCCTATAGCTATTAAAGAAATTGAAACAAAAATTCATAATCTTCCAAAACAGAAAACACCAAGTCCACTTGAGTTCACTGGTGAGTTCTACCAAGCATTTAAGGAAGAAATTATGCCAGTTCTCTACAATCTTTTACAGAAGACAGAGCAGAGGGAATACTTACTGTCTCTTTCTGAGGCCAGCATTACCCTAATACCAAAATCAGACAAAGACATTGCAAGAAAAGAAAATTACAGACCAATGTCTCTCATGAACAGAGTAGCAAAAATCTTCAATGAAATATTAATAAATTGAATACAACAATGTAAAAAAGAATTAGACATCATAACCAAATGGGATTTTTACCAGCTTACAAGGATGATTTAACTTCCAAAAATCGATTAGTATAATCCATCACATCAACAGGCTATTTTTTAAAAGTCACATGATCATATCAATAGATGCAGAAAAACATATGACAAAATCCAATGTTTGTTTTAATAACTGTTAGCAAACTAGGAATAAAGGGAAACTTACTCAACTTTATAAAGAACATCTACAAACCCACATATACCATACTTAATGGTGAAAAATAAAAGCTTTCCCACTAACATCAGGAACAAGGCAAGAATGTTCCTTGTCAACATTTCTTTTATTTTTTAAAAAGATTTTTATTTATTTATTTGAGAGAGAGAGAGAATGAGAGAGAGAGAGAGAGGGAACACAAGAGTGGGGAGGGTCAGAGAGAGAACCTGCTAACCAGGGAGCCCAATGCAGGATTTGATCCTGGGACCCCAGGATCATGACCTGAACCAAAGGCAATTCCTTAACCAACTGAGCCACCCAGGCAGCCCCAGCACTTCTTTTAAACAGTATAGTAGCAGTCCTAGCTAATGCAATATGACCAAAAAAAAAAAAAAAAAAAAAGCAAGTAAAAGGCATACAGATTAGAAAGAAATAAAACTTCATTCACGGATGACAAGATTGCCTACATAAAAAATCAGAATGAGGGACACCTGGGTGGCTCTGGGGGTTAAGGCCTCTGCCTTTGACTCAGGTCATGATCCCAGGGTCCTGGGATCGAGCCCCACATCAGGCTCTCTGCTCAGTGGGGACCCTGCTTCCCCCTCTCTCTCTCTCTCTGCCTGCCTCTCTGCCTACTTGTGATCTCTCTCTGTCAAATAAATAAATAAAATCTTTTAAAAAAATCAGAATGAATCAATAAAAGATCCCTTGAACTAATAAGTGATTATAGCAAGATTGCAATAGAAAAGATTAATGAATAGAAGTCAATTACTTTCTTATATAACAGCAATGAGCAAGTGGAGTTTAACATTAAAAACATATTATCATTTACATTAGCACCACCCCAAATTGAAATATTTATATATAAAATCTAATAGAATATGTACAAAATCTATATGAGGACAACTATAAACTTTAATGAAATAAGTTAAAGAAGAACTAAATAAAAGGAGAGATATTCCATGTTCACGGATAGAAAAACTCAATATTGTCAAGACGTCAGTTTTTCACAAACTGACCTATAGGTTCAGTACTATCCCAATAAAAATCCCAACAACTTATTTTGTGGATATCAACAAACTGATTCTAAAGTTTATATGGAAAGGCAAAAAACCCAGAATAGCAAACTCCTTATTGATGTAGAAGAACAAAGTCAGAAAACTGACACTACCTGACTTCAAGACTTACTATAAAGCTAGAGTAATCAAGGCAGGGTGGTATTGGAAAAAATAAATAAATAAATAAATAAGACAAGTCAATAGAACAGAATAGAGAGCCCAGAAACTGACTGATAGGAACCATACACCTAAATGTAAATCACAAAGGTATAATACTCCTAGAGAATAACATAATAGAAAACCTAGATGACCTTGAGTAAGGCAATGACTTTTTAGATACCAAAGTCACAATCCATGAAAGAAACAATTTTCACTAAAACTAAAAACTTCTGCTATGGAGAAAGACAATACCAAGAGAATGAGAAAATAAGACACAGACTAAGAAAAAAATATTTGGAAAAACCACACTCCTAAAGGACTGTTATCCAAAATGTACAAAGAATTCTTAAAACTCAACAATAAAAAAATGAAAGACAAGATTTAAAAATGGACAAAAGGCCTGGGGTGGCTGGGTGGTTCAGTCGATTAAACGTCTGCCTTCTGCTCAGGTCATGATCACCGGTGTCCCTGGATGGAGCCCAGCATCAGGCTCTCTGTTTAGCAGCAAGTCTGCTTTTCCTGCTCCCCTTCCCTGGACTCATGTTTACTCTCTCTCTCTCTCTCTGAAATAAATAAATAAAAACTTTAAAAAAAAGAAGAAGAAATGAGATATCAAACCACTAAAAGACATTTAATGAAACTTAAATGCACATTACTAAGGGAAAAGGGCCAATTGAAAAGTCTGCATACTACATGATTCTAACCATATGACATTCTGGAAAAGGTAAAACTATGGGACAGTAAAAAAATTACTAATAAAAAGTGGTTTTCGGGGGTTAGGGAGAAATACAGATAAATAGGTGAAGCACAAAGGATTTGGGAAGCATTGAAACTATTCTATATGGTACTACAATGGTGGATATATATGATTATACATTTGTCCAAACCACAGAATGTACAACACCAAGAATGAAACTTAATATAAATCATGGATTTGGGGTGGTA